TGAGATACACTGTGATGGATCGTTCTTTGGCGATTCCCAGGAGGCGGCATATGGTGTCGTAGTGACGAACAGCCATGGTCAAGTTTGCGATGGGAGAGCTGAGCCTCTGCAATGTAATTCCCCACTTGAAGCTGAAGCAAAGGCACTTTGGGAAGGAATCCGTTTGGCGGCGGAGCTCCAAGGTCCTTGCCTGGTCAGATCGGATTGCCTAAAGCTTATCAACTCTATTCAAGGTCCGACAGAAGATTGGCCATGGAGAGCAGCGGGCTGGATTGCCAGAATCAAGAATCTCATAACTACTCATCCCTGGATTAAGTGCGACTTTTTCAATAGGAAACGCAACACCAAAGCTAACTGGGTTGCTAGATCGTGTGCTAGAAATTCCCTACCTATTGATTGGATTCAGATCCTTGATGTAATCTCACCACTTCTGTAATTTTGGCTTCAGGCCCAAGTAATGGAATATCATTGCCCTTTGTAAAAAAAAAAAAAAATTAGAAATCGGTATGAGATATTTTCAATTAAACTACATGGTAATATGGTTTGACAAGTACTGGAAACATGCCGCATGCAGCGTCATTAATTAACAGTTAGCTGTAACTGTGCATGACTTAGATTGGGGTTGATTTCAAAGGGGCTGGAAAACAGTAGCTACTTGGGATCCAATGGGAAGGAGGAGTGGCGGCCAGCGTACCGATGGGTAATAGTACTACTATGAGCAAAATTTCAAATAAAAATATAATGAAAAATGATTGTACAGTGATACAATAATATATAGCTGCTGCAATTCATATCGTTACAACCATAATCTAAATAAATTTGTTGCAGGGTGACATAATTTCTTTAATGATTTTGTAAAAAAATAAGTCTTTCTTCTTGGGCATGAATCCTAAAACCGACTTTTTTTCGTTTTTCTACCCCACCCACATTGGATAAATCTTACTGATAGGTAGTTGATAATTATATTCAGTTTTGACCATTACTAGTCAGATTATTAATGGTAGTTTTGTAGTAAAAACTCAATGTCTATGTATCTGTCTACTTATTATTAAAGTGCAAAAGAGGAAAAATCTTCCTCATTTCAATTTATCGCCATATGAGTAATTTTATGAAGGATTTTTTGGAATTGCATTTTTTGTACCGCTGTTAAAATCATGGGTTAATATTTTCGTATGGCTTGAACTTTGACCAAAATAAACATCCTGGCCAATCTTTTCGATCTATAACATCCTGGCCCGAACTATACACCAAAATAAACAATTTGGCCAAACCCGATGTTTGACCGTTAACTTGGACGGTCAAACGCGTTGACTAACGGTCAACGCGCCATGTCACTGCCAAGTCAGAAGATCTGATACATATTTAATTTTTTCGTTTTTTATTTTTGGTTTAACTAAGGTATTAGATGATTTTTTTTATTTTATAATAATTTAAAATTAGGGAATGTGTGGAAATTGTGAATTATTTTAAATATTTTATGCTGACTTGGCAGTAACATAGCGCGTTGACTAACGGTCAACGTGTTTGACCGTCCAAGTTAACAGTCAAAAGTCGGATCTAGCCAAATTGTTTATTTTGGTGTATAGTTCGGGCCAGGATGTTATAGATCGAAAAGATTGGCCAGGATGTTTATTTTGGTCAAAGTTCATGCCATGCGAAAATATTAACCCATATTCTTATTACCATGTCCTTTTCTTTCTTTGCCCTTGAATTATTCAATTTCCACTTCTGGGGAATATATGGGTTATTGAAACTTGGATTTTCTACATATCAATGTGGGATTGATAAGGACAGGATAACACAAATAATTGAAAAATTAACTCATCACTTATATTACTTTTCTTGTTATTGTTACTACATGAGCTACTTTCCTTGTTATTGTTACTACATGAGCAAATTTTAATTTGCGATAATGTCAAAACACCAATTTAATTTTCAGGAATCGATGTATGTATTGTAAAACACATAATAATATAAATCAAATTACGCAACCCAAAATTTTAATCCAAATAGATGTACTTGATAAAATATCAATGGATGGTTTACTATGAGAAAAGAGTAGCATCCATCTTAATATTTTGGAATGAGATAATCTCACCACAAATAAGACAATAAGATATGAAAGAAGACGAAGATTTGCATACATTGATCATATTGTGATATTACTCCAATATACTAGATTGTGTAGGGAGACAATGACCAACCATGATGCTAGCAGAGTTTCGTGCCGATAACGTGTTATGAAACTAATGGAAAATATAAACAACTACAAGAGAATATTAGAGAGGGAAAGACACAGAGAAGAGAGGGGAAAGTGAGCTTTCTTATTCATTCTTCTCTTTTGATACAAATGGTGTGCTTTATTTATAGACACACATTGGTAACCACTACATCCTTATATCACTGAGAGATAATGAAACATAAAGGAGCTATCAAATATAGGAATGGGGTTACATGTAACTCCCAAGTGAGCATCTAATATGGTAATGGCAATGGTCATCCATATATCAATATTTACATAATAACTATAATCATAATCTTTTTATTTGAATAGTCTCTAGTCCTTGTTCAATCTTACCACCAATTTAGTCATAGTCTTTGAATGCGTTTCGTCTTACTTGTCACTCATCTTCTCTTCCCCTCTTCAAGTAACACAAGCTAATTGATGCAGGCTCAAGATCCGGTACATAACCCATGGTTATGCATCCATCAATAACTAAATTTGGACCCTTCATTCAAAAAATCCATATCTAAGGGTGGAGAATTAAAAATGTCTTTTTATTTTTTTCTTGTTTTCTTAATCGGCTCATATCTTCTTCGATTTAACTCGAATTTCAAATTTTTTTTGTACAGATGGAACGAGTTCGTTGTGCTCTACAAAATGAGATCTGTTTTCAATATTTTTTGAGAAAACAAAATTTTCGGGCCTCTCGGTACCAACAACATATCATATGGTATCTTCTTCGTTTTTAGTTCGTTTTGGAAAATTTTTACACAGAAGGAACGAGTTCATCGTGATCTATTGGATCAACAAATTTTTGGGTGAACAAATTATCAGACCAAAAAATATCACACAATACCATGGTGGTATGAACAAACCAAGACTGTAGGATGGTTGAATACATGATAGTAGAAGTATATTAACTGTCATGCATGCTTTTATTTCAATACCAGTCAATACCATACAGTATATACTAGTAAAAAATGGATCAATTTTTTTTTGTTCAATAAATATATCAAAGTGGATATCATTTTGAAGAGCACAATTAATCTGATCTAACTGTGCAAAAAAAGTAAATTTTGACTTAAAACAAATGAGAAAGTCTGTTAAAATTAGTGGAAAAATTAAAAACTTTTCAGGATAGAAAAAGGCGTTGATATAGCAGATTCTGATTAATTTATGCATAGTCATTGACCATTTGAGAGTATCCGCTCGCGCGGCTTTACTTCCATTCCGTCACCAGAATCTCCAACTTGGATCTTCCCAACACTGAACACTCTCAAGAGTCAACACACTTTGGTTCTCGCCGTTCACCGGGCAATAAAATGGAGTAACTGCCGTCGAATCCCATCCGGTGGAAGGTTGACCAGCAGCCGCCGCCTTTGCCCATCCTCCCTCCAGAACTCATCGACGAAATCTTCACCTGGTTACCCGTCGATTCGCTGGTTCGATCCAGGGTCCTCTCCAAATCGTTCAAAATCCTAATTTTCTGTCCCAATTTCGTCAAATCACACCTAAGAGCATGAAGGCTCTGGTGTTGAACACCAGACCCAACTGCGCCGAATGTCTATTCAGGCGATCGATCAACTTTTTTACGGAATGGGATCGCTCTATCAGTTGGCGTTTGGTTTCATACTCGCTTTACCCTTTCTCCAACGACCCCCAAATCGATCTTCCCGACTGTAAGAGAGTGGTATAAGATACAACATAACCTTCTCCCAACAACTCGAGTTATTGGGATCAACTGGTTCATGACATGGTATCAGAGCTAGTTTGATCAAGTGGTCGTGTGTTCAAATCTCCACGACCCCCAATATTGACATTTGATTAAAGCACAAGGTATGGTGGGTCTGTGCAAACTTCAAGCCCATGGTAAGATACAACATAACCTTCTCCCAACAACTCGAGTTATTGGGATCAACTGGTTCATGACACCGACCTTGTCTCTCTGCCGAATCGATACGCTCTCTTTTGATTGGGTGGTCGGATCATGTGATGGGTTACTGTGTTCGTTCTCCACCCACCCATCCTGCGAAGTGGTCGTATGGAACCCATTTACCAGGGTTACCAGATCGTTGCCCGACTATGAACCCAGCTTTAAGAAATGGACAGACAGCTCTTACTCTGTTCTCGGAATTGGCTATGATTTCCAGCTTGATGATTACAAGGTGGTTGCAGTGCTTGCCTGTCGAGATAAAGGTGTGAGCATCAAACTTCTGCTAATTGGCTATGATTTCCAGCTTTAAAGACGAAAGCTTGGAGGAAGATTGGGGCTTTTAAGTGTAGAGTTCATTCAAACCGAGATGCAAAGTTTGTTGCTGGCAGATGATGGTGAGTTCTCCGCGAGACGACGTATGAAAGTTCCATCATTTACAGTTCCAAGGAGATGCAAAGTAGATGGATCGATCCATGGCTGGTTAACCTCTCCACTTTGCACTTCAGATGATGGTGAGGTTTTCCGCGAGACGACGTATGAAAGTTCGATAATTTACAATTCCAAGGAGAAGACCTGCAGGTTGCCTACAAATAAGTCTCGAAAAATCAAGACGGTCATTCGACTGTGGACATGGGGACCTTGGTTTCGCCATGGCCGACTGACCGTGAGTTAGCAAAGTGAGGTAGGTACGCCTAGGGTTGGTGATCGGTCGGTTACCGGATTAGCAAACTCCTGGTTTTTTTGTCCGAGTTCTGGTTCCTCTTCTTCTTCCTCTAGCATGTAAAATCCTTGGTATGTTGAACAGCCTTGTTGAAATAAAACAACGTATAGTTTCTTAGCACAGCCGTAAGTTCGTATTCAACTAATAAGGTTTTACAAGCAAAATTGTAACTTGGCATGAAGTGTTAAGTTGATCCATACTGTACCTCTTTGAAAGAAAACAAAAAAACCTGCAAATGAAGTGCCATATCACAGTACTTAAACTTAAAAGAGTGTTTTGGACTGTCTAGCAAACTCGTTGTCTAATGTCTAGCCCTCGATAGCAAAAAATTCAGTACACGAAAAAACACAACCGAGACGCGGCACAAAAATTGTTCGATTAGCCGCATCAATCTTCCTCCTGCTCCATCTCAAACTGTAGCCATTTATCACTTCACCATGCAGATCTTGATAATCGAGGCCGTCCCTATTCGATGTAGGGCCACCACCGCATCTCCAACCTTGCACAGACCCTTCTCCACAGCCTTCTTCAGAGCTGCAACCAGTATCTCCTCCGTCGACTCAGCATCCGTGGCCTTGGCGGACCCTTCCGCCAGTATCGGGATCAAACCCCTGTATATCAGACTGTGCCTCGCGGGAGACTCGTCACTGCACGCCCAGTCGAACGAATCCGTGGTCAACTCCGGCACCACCACAGACAATATCGGCACTGCCGGCCTGTACTTAGCCACCAGCGTTGCCGTCGTTCCGCCCCGAGTCAGCACCACGATCAGCTTTGCTCTAGCCTTGTTCGCAGTCCGAACAGCGGAAGACGCCAGGCTCTCCAGCGGGCTCATTGGAAGCGGGGTCGACCTCATGATCGCCTTAAACACGGCACCATAGTCCAGCGAAGACTCTGCCTCGATGCAGATTCTCCGCATGGTCTTCACCGCCAGCTCGGGGTACGCCCCAGCGGCGCTCTCCCCGCTCAGCATCACGCAATCGGTGCCGTCGAGGACTGCATTGGCGACGTCGGTGGCTTCTGCACGAGTCGGCCTAGGGGACTTGATCATCGACTCGAGCATTTGGGTGGCAGTGACCACGGGTTTCCCCACGAGGTTGCACTTGTAGATCATCATCTTCTGAGCAAGGAAGATCTTCTCCACGGGGATCTCCATTCCGAGATCGCCACGAGCAACCATGAAAGCATCGGTCTCGCGCAGGATGTCATCGAAGTTGATAACACCCTCCTGATTCTCAACCTAACAACAACAGAAACCGAAACTGATCACAACCCCAGCTAACCAAATGACATTGCAAATTGAGCATACCAGATCGAGAGAGACGGTACCTTGGACATCAATTTGATGTGCTTGGCGTGGGGGCCAAGGACCTTGCGAACATTGACAAGGTCGGACCCCTTTCGGACGAAAGAGAGAGCAATCATGTCAATGGCGTTCGGAACGCCCCATTGAAGAATATCCTCCCGGTCCTTATCAGTAAGCGTGGGGAGATCGACGACCACACCAGGGAGATTGACATTCTTCCTCTCACCGAGCACGGCAGCATTCTGGCAGCGGCACCTCACAGTTCCAGCCTTGGGATCACACGACAGAACATTGAGACTAATGGTGCCATCGGAACAAAGGATGGTGTTCCCCGGCCTGACATCCAGCGGCAGCTTCTTGTAGCTCATCGAAATCGTCTCCGTATCTCCCTTGATGGTGTAGTCAGTAGAGATCGTGATCTCTTGGCCCTCCTGAAGCTGTATCGGGTTCCCATCCTTCAAGAATCCGGTCCGAATCTCCGGTCCCTGGATGTTGAATTGAGAAGCAAAAGTTAGGGTTTCCGCTGTGCTGAATTTGAAATTGAATTAGTAAAAGGGGCAAAGAAAGTGACCTTGGTATCGAGCATGACGGCACAGAGGATGCTGGTATTGTGCATGGCGATGCGGAGGTTGTCCAAGGTCTCCTGGTGGTACTCGTGAGAGCCGTGGGAGAAATTGAAGCGGGCGACGTTCATCCCCGCCCTGAGAAGCTTCTCGATCATGGGGACGGATCTGGATGCAGGTCCTAGGGTGCAGACGATTTTGGTCCTGGGGACGCGGCTCTCGTCGCCGTCCTCGCCGCGGAGGAGGCCGTCGATGTCAATGTTGGCCATGGAAAGTTAATCGGCTGGCTGATTCTGCATACAGATAAACAAATAAGGAAAGGGCGGGCGGGCGTTGGTTTAGGTTCTGGAAGAGGCGGAAATGAAATCGGGAAGGAGAAATGGCGGTGGTGAGATCTGTAGATTGAGATTGGGGATCGTGCGATGGTGGCGGGAGGGAGGGAGGGAGGCAGGCGGTTCAATAGCAAAACTACAAACAGCAAGAGACGGAAAGGATTACCTACTTCAGCTGGCAGTGAATGAGAGTGGTGGAGCGGGAGTAACAGCAGCGGCGGTGGACGGTGGTTTCTGTGGTGGCGGCGGTGGCTTTTATTTCTCGAAATAGGTCTGGCAGAAGAGCAGCGTTTGGAGCGGACGAGAAGGTGTCCTTTACCAGTACTATATTTTCGGGGCCCGGTTTCTTTTTGCCTTTTGGGATTTGTCCGGACGAGATATTTTGGTGTTTCAATTTCAAAAAGGGTATATTGTGAAATCAATTAAATAAGGTTTTGTCTTTGGTCGACAGCGCAGCAGATATTTGACTATTTGTGAACCAAGTCTTGTGCTACTAACTACCCAACGCATCGCCTCGTCCCCAGTTTTGCCTCATGCTTGTGCTGTGCACGTGAATTTGAAGCTAAACCTGTGGCTGTGGGTGCTTCTTTTATGATCATAGATTGGGACTTCCCATGGGCCGATAGCCCATTCTGAATTTCAACGTGAAAAAGTGGCCGAACGGGAAACACATCATTTTTGTTCGGTGGTATTGAATCAAAATATGTGGCAATTTCATGTGAAACTTCAGCTTAGAATTGAGTCTGGTTGTCTTATCTTGATAGAACATTCTGTTGGATGTTGGTGTCTAACCGCAAGAATATGCAAACGGTGTCGTTGTGTGTTCAAAACGCAACATCTCACCTTAATAACGTCGTTTTGGAATCGTCCTTCAAAGTCTCAGCTACCACCCAGCCATTATGCAATTTCCTCGCGCAGTGATCTCCATCTTCGATTCTCTCTCAAGCAATGGAGACATCTTCCTCGAGCCTGCTTTCCTCGTTCTGCTCCAAGATCGTCACCGCCTCTACAAGAGCTAATGATGATCACTGCCATGATCATCACCCTTAGCAAACGGTCATTTTCCTTGCCTCCTATAAATCATGTATTTTAATGGACAAGGCCCACCGCAGCCCACGAATTGCTCTTTATCAGTAGAAGTCCACGTCCGAAGACAAGCAGAAGGAGGCCTCTCGCATAATTACCATAGGGCAAGTAGAGGTTCCTTATTGTACACAGACACTGACTAATACCCTAGATGCTTGTAGAGAAAGGGTATATAATGGTTGTAAGGCCATCGGCCAGAATATACAAGTGAAATAAGAGATATCTGGAGAGTTGAGCTCTCCCGTGGACTAGTGCCGATATTCGGGGATACCACGTAAATCCTGTGTTCTCGTTATTCCGCATATCGTTCATACAAATTTATTATGGTATCAGAGCATTGATCCGCAATTATTGAGTAGTCATGTCCGGGAAGGATTCATCCTCTACGGGAACACCCGAGTCCAAGCTCTCTGGCGGCGACGACAATGGTGGAAGTCTAGATATCGACATCACCAATCTTTTTTTCATTCTTCAAGGTGATAGCACGGGTCATCTCCATGTTAGCGGTCTCTTAACGCCATCTAACTACGGTGAATGGGTCCTGGAGATGACGGATGCCCTAGTCACCAAAAATAAGGTCGATTTTGTGGATGGTTCTATCCCACGACTAGAAGGTGGGTCGGCACAATCTCTCGCCTGGATGCGTTGCGACGCGCTTGTCAAAGGCTGGTTGCGCACTGCGATGGACGCGGAATTGCGTAGTAGCGTTATGCATGCTAAAACGGCCCAAAAATCTGGGAAGACTTGCGCGATCGTTTCAGCAAGGATAATCTGACGCGCTCCTATGAGTTGCATCATCACGTGAGTTTGCTTCAAAGAAAAGCAATCTTTCTCAAGTTCTTATACTCAGCTGCGGAAAATCTGGGAAGAGACGCAGTCGATCCTGCCGCCTCCACTTTGTGCGTGTGGCCGCCGGAGTCGTGATCAAAACGAAAGTCTGAGGCTGTTGGATTTTCTACTTCCGATGGATGATTCATTCGCCACTGTCCGCAGTCAGATCTTGTCAATGGGAGTCACGCCCTCCCTTTCTGAAGCCTTCCGCATTGTCTTCAATGACGAACAACAGCGGACCCTTACTCAAGGGCGGAAGCCAAACCCAAAAGCGGCTGCTTTTGTCGCACATGAAGAAGCTGGGAAAACAGCTTCTGATTCTCGCGATGGTCGTGGACGTTCTACAGGTGAAAGGGAACGTAGGTTTTGTACTCATTGCAATAAGTCTGGGCATCTTAATGAAAGTTTCTATAAGATTATTGGCTGGCCATCTAAAGCCAAGTAGGGACAAAGGCCAGATCGTCGACGCAATCGCGATGGTCGTGATCAAGGGAAGGGCCGCCGACAAAGTAGGGAGCCCCGTGCTTTGCAAGCCGAAACAGATCCAAGTGCAGCCTCTGGTTTCACTCCACAACAGCTCAATTAGCTGAAACAGTTCTTTGGGAGTCTAGCCCAAGGAGCACTCGACCCCTCTAGTCACATGACGGGTACGTTTTCCTTTTCTAGTGAGACTGAATGGCTTATTGACTCAGGTTGCAACGGACACATATTCAAGGATGATTCTCTCTTATTTTCATACAATGACAATGTGCCTTGTCAACCGGTTCGAATTCCAAATGGGGCCAGTATCCTAGTTAAACGTGTAGGGACAATCCACCTTGGTGATGGACTCGCCCTTAGTCGTGTTCTTCATGTTCCAGAGTTCAGCTTCAATTTACTCTCGGTTAGCCGACTTTGTCAAGAGCATCGTGTTGCTTTAATATTCCTTGGTGATTTCGGTTGCCGGGTGCGCGCCAATGCAGTTGTCAATGGCGATGGGGCGCTCTGGCATGCCCGTCTGGGACACCCTTCCACTGGTGTTTTGGAGAAGTTTAGTTCAAGTGTTTCTATTATAGTAAAGTCGGCTATTGATACTTGTCACTCGTGTTCGAGAGCCAAGCAAGTTCGAACACCCATCCCTGTTAGTGGGATTCGAACTACTTCTTGTTTTGAGATGTTGCATATGGATATCTGGGGTGGTTATCATACTCCATCATACAGTGGAGCTCATTATTTTATTACTATTGTTGACGACTTTAGTCGTGGTGTGTGGATTTATCTGCTGCGGTTTAAATCTGAAGTTGGTCGTTATATACAGTTATTCTGCAATCTTGTTCGTACTCAGTTTGGTAAACAGGTAAAGAAGATTCAAGCTGACAATGGTCCGGAATTTGCGACCAAAGTGATGTGTGTATTTTATGAGAATGCAGGCATTCTTCTTCAGACTTCGTGCACAGATACTCCACAGCAGAACGGAGTTGTTGAACGAAAGCACTGCCATATCCTAGAAACAGCGTGTGCACTTCATTTCCAAGCTTCTCTGCTGATTCATTTCTAGGGGGAGTGTGTGCTCATGGCAGCATACTTTATCAATAGACTCCCCACCACAGCTACAGGGCGAACACCGTACGAAGTTGTATTCGGCAAGTCGGCCTCCTACACACATCTTCGCGTGTTTGGCTATCTAGTTTATTGCAAGGATACACATGCAGGCTTGGGAAAATTCTCCAAGCGTGGTCGTGCGTGTGTCTTCATGGGTACGCCGCAAACCAAAAAGGGTATCACGCTTATGATCTTTCCTTTTGGTGCATGATTACCAGCCGCGACGTCATATTCCATGAGTCCGTTTTCCCTTTTCAACAAGGCACTTCTGATCAGTTTCACTGGGTCTTGGGTACAGTGTTTGATCGCCCAGCTTTTGATGATGACGAGGAGCTTGTTGCTCCCTCGCCTGCCTTGACTCCAGGCTCCCCCGCGAGCCTTCCTTCTTATGGGCCAGCAGCTACTAGGCCCAACACAGGTTCCCTGATGGAGCAGTCTCCCTCCAGCGCGTTCGACGCTGTTCGCACACCTGGGCCCTCTTCAGTGCGCAAGGATAGTAGCGGGTCCAACACTTCGCCACGGCAGCCCAGCCCCAGCTCTCCCTCGAGCGGGCCCGACTCCTCCCCGAGCCCAGATCCGGTTCCAATTGTTCCCCTTCGTCGTGGAGATCGCCAAAGAGTCCCACCGAAGCGGCTTGACATATACTATACAGGGAGTCAAGCCAACTCAGTTCGTTATCCTTTAGCTAATCATCTCACTTATGATAAATTCTCCACTAATTATTGTGCTTTCCTTGCAGCGGTTGCCAATCATCTTGAGCCCAGATCGTTTTATGAAGCAGTTAAGGATGCGCATTGACGCGCAACCATTCCTGCCGAGGTTCTCACCCTCGAAGAAAATGGGACTTGGAGTCTTGTCTTCTTGCCTCCTGGAAAACGCGTTATTGACTGTAAATGGGTTATAGGTGAAGTTTTATCCTGATGGTACAGTTGAGAGATATAAAGCTCGGTTAGTAGCAAAAGGATAGAGTCAAGTGAAAGGATTTGATTTCCATGATACATTCGCGCCGGTCGCCAAGTTGGTCACAGTGCGTTGTCTTCTTGCAGTCGCAGTCAGCCAAGGGTGGTTTATCCATCAGTTAGATGTCAATAACGCATTCCTTCACGGCGCCTTAGATGAGGAGGTATACATGCGTATTCCGCAGGGCTTTGCCCCCCCCCCCCCCGGAGAGACTCGTGTTTGCAAGCTGCATAAGTCGCTCTACGGATTGCGCCAAGCTTCCCACAATTGGTATCATAAGTTTACTGTGGTTCTTAGGGAACTTCATTTTTGCCCATCACCGGCAGATCATTCTCTGTTTATTTTTCGTCGGGGGAGTATTCATGTCGTCGCGCTCATCTATGTCGATGACGTCATCTTAGCTTGTACTAGCCTTGAGTTCATATCACACGTCAAGCCATTCCTCCATCGAAAGTTTAGCATTAAGGACCTCGGTCCGCTTCGATATTTTCTGGGCATTGAGGTTGCTCGCTCCCCAGAAGGGATGGTTCTCAGTCAACGCAAGTATGTTCTTGACATCCTTGCGGACGTCGATGTATTGGGAATTCGCCCTAGCTCCTTTCCAATGGAGCAAAGTCACCATCTCACTCGTCCCACAACAGCTGATCATCCGAATCCTGCTACTTATCATCGTCTTGTTGGGTGACTACTCTATCTTATGGTCACCGAACCCGACATTACTTATGGCGTTAGCATACTCAGCCAGTTTGTTCATGCCCCATCTCAATCACATATGGAGGCCGCACAGCGAATCCTTCGCTATCTCAAAGGGGCACCAGGACAGGGTCTTTTCTTTCCTTCTGGCAGCCCACTTGAACTTATAGGTTACTGCGACGCCGACTAGGGAGGATGC